TGCCCATACCACTGCCAATCTTCTCTCCTGAACTTTCTTCGATATTTCCACCACTTTAGTTGTTCCTCGAATCCTCTAGTTTCTACTCCTATCACACATCATTCAAATGAACTGTCATTTTTTTGGGGGGGCAGGTTTTTTACGGCCGGATGCCCTTCCTGACGCCAACCATCCCCATTTATCCGGGCTTTGGACCGGCACCGAGTTGTGCTGGCTTGCACCCCCAGTGGCTAGGTTATGAGGAAAGAGGTTACGAAGCTTAAACCCCGGCTTCATAGTCCGGGCATGCTAACGTTTGGGCCACACCCATCCTATATAGCTTAGGAACAGTAGCTATGTACCTATCACTCTGTGGTTAAAGTAGAAAATTGGAGCTATGTCACCGGTCATTCCTCTTAGAAAACTTTACAACTCTACTTGTCAATACAAAATGTTATGAAATATTGACCTTATATTAGACAAGATAAAACCACCATCAGTTTTGACGACAGCCAGAATCGTACGACCTTAGGCTCATCCTCGTTTTAACACTGATATCACTGTCAAACGATGTGGATAGAGTTAGGACGAACTGGGTTTGAATCCATGACCAAAAAGACTGCCCTGTTTTTGTTACTTTAGATAAACTGAGGAATTACGTTGTATAATATGTTTTATGAGCTGGTCCTCAATATTATAGAACAATTATATATTTATTAATTAATGTAAATAGATGTATTACAAATAACTCATAATGTATTTATTTTACACTTTAATATTTATTTTGGAAAACAAAAAGAAAGTGACTCTCTCGTAAAGCTTTGAAAGTTGTTATTTACAAACTCTCTCACAATAACGTTGTAAACGTGAAACTATATAATAAACTAGTATTCTACGTAGGAACGTGAAAGTGTTATTGCTTAGTTTGCAAAGCTACACAATGGACCAGCTACCGTGGGGAATCCTGAACTCTAGCGTTAAGTTATAAACGTGAAACTACATAATGAACTAGTATTATACGTAGGAACGTGAAAGTGCTATTACAAAGCTACATAATGGACCAGCTACCGTGAGGAATCCTGAACTCTAGCGTTAAGTTGTAAATGTGAAACTACATAATGAACTAGTATTATACGTAGGAACGTGAAAGTGCTATTACAAAGCTACATAATGGACCATCTACAGTGAGGAATCCTGAACTCTAGCGTTAAGTTGTAAATGTGAAACTACATAATGAACTATTATTATACGTAGGAACGTGAAAGTGTTATTGCTTAGTTTGCAAAGCTACATAATGGACCAGCTACCGCGGGAAATTCTGAACTCTAGCGTTAAGTTGTAAACGTACCCCTGAACCGCTCTGAGAAGTCATTGATTACATTACATATTCCGTTAATAATTTCTGAATGACCAACTTCTTAGCAACAAATATAGTTTCCAGTAAAATTCCTTCTTTATGTATTTCTATTGTACTAAAAGGGTTTTTGTAAACACAGAAAATTCATCGTATCTATTCAAGTTCACTTTTTAGTGTGTTTCTAGTGAAAGATATTGTTTTGGGTGGTTTATTAATATAACGTTTTGGGACAACATGGGACCTATGGTCCATCTCGGCTGTTTCATCCTCTAAACTTAACTAAAACTATTAATAAATAATTTAAAAAAAATCTCAAAACCAGCTCTTATCATTTATATATACACCTGGAAAAAAGTTAAGCACCCCCCGTGTTTTTTTCAAGTGATTCAGATTCGACGTTCTTGTGACTGATTATAAATTACCATTCAATCTAAACGTGTTTAT